AACTTTTCTAATAAATAGCCCCTAAAAACCCGAACTTCATTCTTCATTAGGTAAGAGAAAATAACCAATAATTATTTTTTGTTTTCATAGTTGATTACATTCTAGGTGTGCAAGTTGAATTGTACTTCAAGAACTTTGGATTTTGGTTCTGTGGTTGTTTTGGTTAGTTAATGGTACCTTTATGAAATTGGAGCACCAAAAAAAAAAAGAAAACGCCGAACTCCCCCACTACAACATGCTGCCACTGCCAAACTATGGTTTTCGATGACATGACGGGGCATAAATACTACATTATTTAGGCAAAATTGTCCGTCGGTTATTATTAGTTGATAGATAATCAATATAAGTATGCATGTACCTTATTTTTTCAATAAAAAATGTTATTGGAAACTGATGTGCCTACTTAATTTTATAATTTTCAATTTTTGTTTTTTTTTTTGGAAAAAGTTCTATCTGACTTCCAGAAAATAGAACGAAAATTGAAAATTATTGAATTAGGTAATTTTTAATCCATAATCCTAAAATTCTTTCACGTATTAAAGTCATACTAGAAACATATAGAGGATGTTTCTTACACCTGCCCCGGATGTATTAGGTACATCCCGCGTCATCTTAGAAACATCCCTGAGAGATGTTTATAGGACATCGCAAATGATGACACGGCTGTTGCCTGCAACATCCCAGGGATGTCCCCAGGAAAATAGGGACCTCCCAGGGACGTCTTCATTATCCCTGATGGATGTTTCTGGAATGTTTCTGCGATGTTACTGTGTTATTAGGGTATTTGAATCTGTGGCTACATATGGTATCGTCTCTTGGGGATGTGCATATGGCAATGTGATAAACTATGTACAAAATATACAGAATAGAATTATTAAAATAATTTTTGGGATAAGAAGTGTCAACCTAAACCAAATCTATAAAAATAAGATGATTTTGACAATTAAACAAAACTACTATTATAAATCATTAATTACCAATTATGACTCCTTGAAAATTCAATATTTATGTAGACAAACAAACACCAGAAACCGAAATATTCCATGCATACAAACACTATTGGAGGTGGGTAAAAAGTCATCCGAAGTAAACGCTATTAAACTCTTCAATTTATTACCAAACAATCTAAAAAAAAGTAAAACAATTAATAACAGATTTAAACATATTATAAAAGAATTTTTAATAAATGAAAACATCACCCATTTGTGAAATTTGGAAATTTTGTACCTTATTACACTTTTACATTAATTATTAATAATTTATGAAATATTATAAAGCTTGTAGTATAAGTAAGCATTTTTAAATAATTTAGTTCTTACGGTAACTTTAGTTTAGGTACCAGGCCTGCTCACAGACGCATGTGCGCCTCATGCAGGATATATATTTTATATGTTTTATATTTTATATTGTAATATTTCTTACACCTGGAATAAAAATTGAAATTGAAATTGAAATTGAATTGAAATAATATGAAAATTGAAATTAATGAAATTCAAACATGCCGAGATTCGGGCAAGTTATATCGAATAAGTAACGCATTTCGTTAGTTCTACGGGCAACTTATGCCTGCCGAACGCGGGCGCTAGAAAATCCGTCCCGGCTATATAGTCCAGGAGCTGGCGTCGAAAATATGCAAGAGTTTTCGCAAGGCTCATATTTTCAGAATGAGTAGTATTTTAGTGCTACAAAGCTAGGCTACAGTCAGCAGTTCCAGTTCCGGGACACCTGGCGCTGAGATGCGCGCAAAGGTGTATTTTTAATCAACACCTCGCAACAGTTTTCGCAAAGCTGAAAATTTGCAAAGAGCATGCGAATATAATGTAGAACCATAATTTAACAGTCAGACAAAGAAATACGGGGACACGTAGAGTCAGCGCGACTTTGAAGTGGTCAAAAAAATGACGTCACCGAAAGTGTTTTCGCATGGCTGAAATTTGGCAAGGTAATAGTAAAAACAATATATTTATTGAAAAAAACAGTCAGACACTTCTATGTCGGGACCCCGCCAGTCAGCAGTCGATTAAAGTGATATAGGTGGTAGCGCGCGTCAATAGGCATATAACCATGTCGAATAATAATTTCACCAAAAGTGTTTTCGCATAGCTGAAATTTGGCAAGGTAATAGTAAAAACAATATATTTATTGAAAAAAACAGTCAGACACTTCTATGTCGGGACCCCCGCCAGTCAGCAGTCGATTAGAGTGATATAGGTGGTAGCGCGCGTCAATAGGCATATATCCATGTCAAATAATAATTTCACCAAAAGTGTTTTCGCATAGCTGAAATTTGGCAAGGTAATAGTAAAAACAATATATTTATTGAAAAAAACAGTCAGACACTTCTATGTCGGGACCCCCGCCGGTCAGCAGTCGATTAGAGTGATATAGGTGGTAGTGCGCGTCAATAGGCATATATCCATGTCGAATAATAATTTCACCAAAAGTGTTTTCGCATAGCTGAAATTTGGCAAGGTAATAGTAAAAACAATATATTTATTGAAGAAAACAGTCAGACACTTCTATGTTGGGACTCCCTCAGTCAGCAGTCGATTAAAGTGATATAGGTGGTAGCGCGCGTCAATAGAATTTTACTCTATATATATCCATTTCGATGAATAATTTTATTTCTATAATTTAAATTATTTGGAATCGGAAACGGTAAAATACATTTTTTTTTCTCTTAATGAGTAAGTGTAAACCTGTAAGTTGCAAGCGTAAGCGCGTATACTTGAATAAGGCGTATATGCATTCGAATTCGGAAACTTCATTATGGTACTGTTAGGTCGAGATTAGGGGAAGGGAAGCGGCAGATGTGATTAGAATTTTTTTTTTGTATTTTATAAAATCGGCGACGATTATAAGTATTTAATGAAACTTACTATAGGTATACTATCACAGTACTGCTGATTAAATGGTCAAGTAATATTTATACGAATCGGGCTTTTTTCTAACCGCAAACTTTTTAAGTGCATGTACAATTTTATTTTACCGTTTCCGATTCCAAATAATTTAAATTATAAAAATAAAATTATTCATCGAAATGGATATTATATATAGAGTAAAATTCTATTCTATTCTATTCATTTTAATCGACTGCTGACTGAGGGAGTCCCGACATAGGAGTGTCTGACTGTTTTTTTCAATAAATATATTGTTTTTACTATTACCTTGCCAAATTTCAGCTATGCGAAAACACTTTTGGTGAAATTATTATTCGACATGGATATATGCCTATTGACGCGCGCTACCACCTATATCACTCTAATCGACTGCTGACTGGCGGGGTCTCGACATAGAAGTGTCTGACTGTTTTTTTCAATAAATATATTGTTTTTACTATTACCTTGCCAAATTTCAGCTATGCGAAAACGCTTTTGGTGAAATTATTTTTCGACATGGATATATGCCTATTGACGCGCGCTACCACCTATATCACTCTAATCGACTGCTGACTGGCGGGGTTCCGACATAGAAGTGGCTGACTGTTTTTTTCAATAAATATATTGTTTTTACTATTACCTTGCCAAATTTCAGCTATGCGAAACCACTTTTGGTGAAATTATTATTCGACATGCATATATGCCTATTGACGCGCGCTACCACCTATATCACTCTAATCGACTGCTGACTGGCGGGGTCCCGACATAGAAGTGTCTGACTGTTTTTTTCAATAAATATATTGTTTTTACTATTACCTTGCCAAATTTCAGCCATGCGAAAACACTTTCGGTGACATCATTTTTTTGACCACTTCAAAGTCGCGCTGACTCTACGTGTCCCCGTATTTCTTTGTCTGACTGTTAAATTATGGTTCTACATTATATTCGCATGCTCTTTGCTAATTTTCAGCTTTGCGAAAACTGTTGCGAGGTGTTGATTAAAAATACACCTTTGCACGCATCTCAGCGCCAGGTGTCCCGGAACTGGAACTGCTGACTGTAGCCTAGCTTTGTAGTACTAAAATGCTACTCATTCTGAAAATATGAGCCTTGCGAAAACTCTTGCATATTTTCGACGCCAGCTCCCCGACTAATAGTGCCCACTGATAGTGCCACGATTTATGAGGGTTGCCATGGCGACGAACGTGTGACGTCACCCAAACATCGCGCTAGGCAATGCGTTTATTGGGCTCCAAATGTTCCGCTCGGAATCAGGAAATTTTCGCGCTTTCGACGGTTGTCGGCGTTTATTCAATATTTTATTTTTGGATTAAGTTTTTTACCAGTTTTTATCAGTTTTTTATTGGAATTCGGAAAGTTTGTTAATTTAATTTTCTAATCTGATATGAAGGTCAGTGAATTACAAAAACTCGTGTTCAGCTCTTTGAATCTAAATGACAAACTTGACTTGAAAAATACTGGATGACCATTGCCATTATTGAACATTGTGCAGGTACAATCAAAATGTAAAAATAAGGCACAGTTTTTGCGAAAGTTTGACAAAGAAATATACGATAAAAATTCGTGGATATGTGTCAAAAACTGGCTAGTACTCATGTTGCCCCTGAAATTTTGACCTAAGAATTTATATTTAGAGACTGACTTTATGATGACAAATTTAAAAAAAAAAAAATTCTGAGCCCCCCTTTACATGATTGTCACGCATTGCGAGCCGCCACTGTGCCTATAGTTATTTCGAAGATGAAGAAACAAGATTATCTAAACTGGGAACACAGCAAACGTTCGGAAGTTTTGCTCGATGTGTTCGGTTTGCGCGTTCATCTCATCACGTTCGTGTCGTGTTAAAATGTTCAAATGTGGACCCACCTTTCGGGAGGAATTATAGATGGCGCCAGTTTTATTATCCTTGCGTTCGGTATTTTGCTCAAAAAGCAGAGCGTGCTGAGCGGAGCCGTAATCACGTGACCAGTGAGCGCACAGAGCAGTTGAACGCTGTTTAAAAGTGCCAGAAATTTTAATAAACGAACGCGAATGAGGCTGCACCGAGTACACTTTTTAAATAAACGAACGGTAAAGTCAAGCTCGGAGAACTCGGACCAAAATAACGAACGCACGGTATTTTATTTATTCTATTTATCAGTTTTGGTCTAAGAGTTTTGGCATCTTCGTCTCTCTTCTTTATCTATTCTAATTTTATGAGGTCATTAAATTAATTACGTAAAAAGCTCGTGATTTCGTTTATATTATATTTTGGGCTAAAATTACTATTTTAGATTAGATTCAGGTTCAGTTGACGGCAGTCGAAAAACGTGTTGGTGTTTTGGATTCGACACAGGGGTTTCAGATAACAACAAAATTCGATCATCTTGAAGCCCATTTGGGCCGCGCCTTGAAAATGCAATTTTTAGCGTGTTGTGCCTTGTTTTTGGGGCTACAAGCGATTCACGCACAAATCGGTAAGTCTAATAAGCCAGTTTTTATTTTTAAATTACTGACAGTGGTACCTGTGACGTCTGAAAACCAAAAGAAAAATTTTCATATTAATGCTCAAAAGTCAAAATTATGCCTTTTTTCTTCAAAATCGTATGTACTTCTGTGTAAAAATCAAACTCCTCCTTGTGCAAATTAGATACATCAACTTGTATGCTCTATGTAGAGGATATACCTAATGTACCAGAGAAAAATCAAGCAAGGTTATTGGTATATATAGATACCCGAGTAGATACCTATGTAATAAAATTTTTAGTAAATTACCTCCTGATTATCTCTACATTATTGCTTACTTGAAGCAATAATTCTAATTTTAATTTACCATTTATTTGTGAATTTACTTTTGGGACTGGATGCTCGTCCGATAATCGGAATAATAGTGTTTTTGTTTCTATTCCGATTATCGGGTTACTAGTTGATTTTGTTATTGTTCCGCAAAATGTTCACTTATCATTTTCGGACTAATAGCATTTAACGCATATTATTCCGAACATTTTTATATTTTTAGAAAAAAGTAGTAAGTAAAAACTACTATCATGATGAGATTGTAGCCCAGTTTATACGAGAACATTACTTTAAGCCCTAGTCAGGCACTATTCTCGGAAAAAAACTATGTTGATTAGAGCATGGCGATTTTATAACGAAAAAGCAGCCAGTCAAGTAATTTAACATAATTTCTTTAGGGCCAAATTATGGACCAAATGGTAAGTGTCTGGTTGTTACCTAGCCGGTACTTTCTATTATCTCGAGCATAGAAAGTACCTGCTAGGTAAAAACCAGACATTTACCAGTCAGTCCATAATTTGGCCCTTATGGCAATTAATAGTTATTTATGTATCAAGGGTACTAAGTAGATGATTATGCCCTGAGGGCGACAGTCTTACAAAGCCGAGGGCCTCTGGCCCGAGGGTTCGTAAGTCGCCCGAGGGTATACATATCTATTAGTACCCGTGATGCATACAAACTTTTATGTCATACCAGTTGGTTCTAAATAATAAATACCTGTGAAAAAAGTGTCACTTCACAAATTGTCATCAGTGTGCAAACATCATAATTTTTTGACAAAAATAATATGTCTATCAGCGTAAATTTATATTTTGTTAATAAAGAATAAGTTAATTGAAAACTGTTTTTTGCGTCTTTATGCCCGCGCGGGCCATAATGTGTACTTTATGCCCGCACGGGCATAAAGTAGTGACTTATGTAGATGGTATCTAAGGTATGAAAACACAATAATGTATTGGTATGACATAAAAAAAAATAAGTATCTGTTTACCAGCAGACACGCAGTTTCCATATGAAACCTAAAAGGGTGTTTTTATCAGGGTTTGTTAGGATAGGAAAAAGTAGTAGAGAATCCGATTATCTATAATTAGGCAATCCAAACCACGTGACTTTTCATGGCACCTGCGGGTCAATTCTTGAAAATTCTCGCATACGTAAGTTGATTCGAATTCGAATGACAGCAACGTAAATTGAATAGGAAACATTCGAATTCATATCAATTTTCGTATGCGAGATAATTCAAGAATTGGGGGCCTGGTTGGCAAACAAAGGATGGTTTGCATTGAACCACTAATCACTAATCCATCATTGAATCTGTTACATTCAGGTAGAATTTTATCATTTTTCTTTGAAAACAATGTTTTTTGTTTATTGTTTGCCAACCAGGCGCCTTTTTTGACAGGTTGTTAGATTGCCTAATCTGTGGATTGCCTAATTAGAGACCAGAAATTCCATTGTAGCACAATGTTGAGAAACAACCCCTATAGTTAAGGGCGCGGAAGAGGAAAGTTTCTGACGCCGGTGTTTTTACACTAAGGACACCCCTCTTAAACAATCCTGAAAAAATCAGCTTGCCCCTAGATTTTTGTCACAGCTTCCGAAAATACAATTATCTTTGACTGATATGATTCACAAAGTAATTTCCTTGATTTTGGCATGCCTTTGCTAAGTGATTTAAATCCGAGTTTAAATCTTTTACCACCGAGTTTACCACCTTGATGGCAAGTATATTCTACTAGGTAGTATACAAATTCTACCTTAGCCTGTTGGCATTTTTTAGGACAACTTTTTGAAATTGTTTGCAATTTTTCAGCATCTCTTTTATATAGGGATATTAGTAACTCCTTTTCAACTGTCTTCAAGACTCTACTTCATTATAAAAATTGAGACTTTTCCCTTGTTCTAACAGGTTTTATGAATTTATAGTGTTGTAATAATTCTAATTCTACTTTCTAATACTTGCACAAATCAACATAATCTAAGGGAACCTAACCTATTTCAAACCATAAATAATTTTCCGAATAATATAAGTAAATCCTAATAGTCCGAAAATAATATATAAGTGTTAGGCTCGGTGATAGGTAAATTCTTAAATTATTTTGCGGAATAATAACAAAAGAAACTAGTAGCCCGATAATCGGAATAGGAACAAAAACACTATCATTCCGATTATCGGACGAGTATCCAGTCCCTTTATTTTTAGACCTGCCTAGTCATCAAACATTTACCAGTCCTTCCCACCTTAAATCACTGCATAATTCAAAATAATACTAGCAGGAGCTTTTATTTTTTTAATTGTAATGTTCATGGTCATAGTTGTTCGATGTCCAATAGTAATCAGCAAGCAAAACTACACTATAATTATCAAAACAAAGAAATAAGATTTATTTATTAATTAGTTCACAAAAGAATAAAAATACAAAATAAGTTCAGATGAACAAATAAATCCTCTACTGCTAACTGGTATTGAGAATACTGTGTGTATTTGAAATGACAAATTAATTTAAGCAATGCAATAAACAAATACCAAACTCCTTCTCTTTTCTTATATCATGTACTTGATACTAAAGTTACTATCAATTAACTAATTGCAATTGGTAATTTGCCCTTTTAATTTACCATAAGGTTTTGGGGTAATGTGTTGTTAAGTTTTGGTTCAACACAGTAAATATGATTCTGGCATATACTGTGTGCCCTCTTCAAAAAAAGATTATAATATTTGAAATCCTTGACTCTAATTTTTTATTTCTTCTGTTTAATAACCCTAAAATTTCATCAAAATATTGCCAAAGAATATTGCGAACTGTAAAAACACTCACAATTTAAACCCCTGATAAACTCATACTTTACTCATAACTACTCTAGAATCTGTGAGTGAGGGCTAGAATCTCTGTAAAAAGCCTCTTTTCTCCTTGTTGTTCATTTCAGAAAGTTGCATGATATCCTTGGGAATTTAAAAAATCAGTCCATGCAAAATTGTTGTGTTGCTCCTATCTCCACTTTTGAACATTGGAATGATAAAACTATTTTTCCAAATGTCGAGAAAATTTGTAGATATTAATGATTTGTTAAATAGCAAGTGTAATCACTTGAGTGCAAATACATTACTTTGTTAAACTATTTGTCTATTTGGAATCCCATCAGGACCTAGTGTATCCTTGTTTGGTAAACTATTATCAATAACATCTATAAAATATAAATCTGTTTCCTTAAGATTTAGGTTAATATCCTTATGAATTAATGATTAAGTAATTTAATAGGAACATTGCTATTGCTAAAGATAGCAGCACACTATTACATCTGTAATGTTGTGTGTGCGCTCTTTTTTCTGTATACAATAATTTAATATTTAAATATTTACAAGGTTTCTAACTTTTATGCCAATTCTAATTATGCGGATACGCACTCCAAAATTCAATTCAATTCGGAAAAAAGAAGAAGAGATAAAAACAATATGAACAAACAAGGAATTAGTCCGATGCATTCACATTGAAAATCAGACTTGAAATCAGACTAACCAGTTAACAGTGAAATTTGTTTCACGTATCCACTGAGAGATGTCTCTCTTTAGTCTGTGATACGGCCCCTCTCGGACAGTCTCAAGTATTGTTTAAATAATGCAACAATATCTTGTCCATTGTCAGCTTTGGGGAAGGCCATTATTTAACTTTAAATCTCCTATATACTTCCAAAAGTATTTTGGATTAGTTTTCAATTCATTATCCACTTTGGACTTTTGGACTTTGGACATAAACTGAGACCAGCACGTACCTATTAAATATTTCCTCATTTCAGTTGGGATGTAATATTCCCCAAATCCAAGAAATTCTAGGAATTTCCTGCAAACCTACCTCGAAACCTACCAAAAGGGGATATCAATCCAGTTCTGTAGATCTATTCCTTATCTTATCTTGCTGTCTAATTGAGGATATGATGGGTTATTATTCCCATAAAAAGAAAATAAATCGCCCTAAAAAAAATATTTTTGAATTAAAAAAATGTACTCGTTTATTTTGGGCCCCACTGTATATCTCGAGGTATATCTGCTGTTACCAGTGATGATGAATCTACCATAACCGTTGACATTAACGGGCAGAATTTGTCAATTCTCATTTATAATTCAGTTGTTTGTTCAGGACTGTATGGAGCTCGACGGTTTTTTATTAACTTTTTTTTGCTCCTTTAGAATTATGCGGAATTATGTAAACTTTCAGGAAATATATCTCATATCTCATGAAATATAATACATCACAATCAAGATCACAATAACCTCATGAATGACTTAATTGCTGTGTAAATAATGTCAGGCAGAACAAACTAGACTTATCTTAGCTAATTATTTAATCAGGGGTCTATTTACGTAAGTATAAGTATAAAAGTTGCTTATCTCGTTAACAATTATTGTATTTTCAAAATTTAATGAATTTTTGACGTGATTTCTACTACCTACCTAAAATGGGATTATGTATTGCTAGCATTATAAACTTGAATAAATTTTAATTTACAAACCGCAATTAACACTTCTTCAATCCAACATTTTCTCACTCTGATTATTATCATATCCTTGGATTTTATGTTTTAGTTGACATTGAGCCTGAATACACTTCACCTGAAAGGAGCTCTGTGATCTTCAACGTAAAAAAGGAGCTAACCATCAGCTGTAATGTGACCATTGAAGAAGGCTCAGTAGAAAATGTTGCAGTTGAATGGAAGAAAGAAGGCAAACTGTTGAGTGAAGTTGAGGGCTTAAGTGGACGCTTCAAGACTTCTAAAAGTGGATTAAAATTCACTTTGAGCGTTTCCAATGCAGAATACAACGACGCTGGTAATTGGACTTGCAGTGCCTTGGTTGACGGACAGGAAAAGGCTTCAAGCCAGATTACTGTTGCTTGTAAGGATTAAGCATACTTGATAATAATTTTGTTATATTCGCTCTCTCTTACTTAGGAAACATTTTAAAAGTGAACAAAGTTGAAATGTTCCTCAAAACGGTATCTTCACCCTGTTCAAAAATTCATATAAGCTATAGTCTGCAGCATCACTGTAACCTTCTATGTATATTTATTTATGTATTCTACAGTAGGTAGTTAACACATTTACTACATGAATCATATTTCAAAGTACAGAACATAAACCTAAAAGAAAAAAAAAACTAATAAGTACATATTACAATACCTCTTCAACAATTGATGCAAACCTGTTATAGGTATTACAAATATATCGACACTATTTTGGATGCCATTATAAATTCTACATACATTCCACAAAGGTGATCCTAACTGATAGTCGTTACAGGCTACACTAGGTATGTAAAAAATAACTGGATTTCTAGTATGATGAACCGGGACATTGGAGGGCAATCTTGATGGAAATACAGGGTCATTGCAGAGTCCATTCACTGCTTTGTACAATAATAATAATTGCTTTATTTAGACTTCATCTAATTCAATACAAAAAAATTTGATATGATAATACAACAATACAATAGGTACATAAGATATAATAATTAGTTCACCCACCAATACTACCACCTTACAATGCGAAGATCATTGAACAATTCTGAACTAAGAAAGAAAGAAAGACAATCCAATGGTTGGCAAGTTCTTTATGTCATTTGGCATAGCATTGAAAATTATTTATCCCTTATGGTATACTGCTTTCTCAGAAAGCGATTTATTCTTTCTTGCAACATAAAAATTGTCTCCATTTCTAGTCGCATAGTTCATTGTTTGATACTTGACAAACCCTTCGACAGATAGTCAATCCAATCCTTTCAGCAAGTCAACTATAAGTATGTCGTGTGTCCCTTCTTTTCTTCAATATTATACGCATAGCTCTATTTTGAAACTTTTGCAGGCGATTCATCTCATTTTTGTTGGCAGTGAATAGTATTGTTGCACTATACGCAAAATGAGGTAAGATCAGGGTGTTATACAGTGTGATTTTTTAAGTGTGCAACATATGGGGATTTTTTTTTAGTAATAGCACAACCCAAATACAAACAAGGCCAAAAGTTGGTGCATGTCTGATAATCATATTAGGTGCACTTAGAATGGTTGCAAGTCAAACAGCATACAGGGTAGCTCAAACGATATCAAAGCTGTAGTGTTAAGTACCCTTATTTTAGAAAATTCAGCAAAATGTTATAGAGAAAAGTTGTTTCGAATTAAAAGTTATGCCTAAATACCAAAACATAGCCTCCTAAGATTTTTTTTATTTTTTTTCGAAAAAAATGTATAATTTCTATATTTTTTTCATTTTTTATTTCCGCCCGTAATACTTTCAAAAATTAATTAAAATCAAGTCAATTTTACATAACTTTGTTCAAATTCAAGCATATTTTAAAATTAACTTAGATTTTTAATTTTTTATGGTATCACAAAATTCATGTTTGTTGCAATGATAATCAACACAACTTTAAAATGTCGTAATTTTTTTTTAACAAGTTAAAACATTAATAATGATAATAGCCATATTAAAAAAACTCTCCTTAAAGTGCAAAAGTTTTATTTTATTTAAGTAAATATTACTACAATTTTGATATTTTTTGAGCTACCCTGTATGCTGTTTGACTTGCAACCATTCTAAGTGCACCTAATATGAATATCAGACATGCACCAACTTTTGGCCTTGTATGTATTTTGATTGTGCTATTAGTAAAAAAAAAATCCCATATGTTGCACACTTAAGTAATGACACTGTATATTGTAATTTTGGTCCATTTACATAATGATCAGGACACTCTGGACACAAAATTGACATTTCTTGATATTTTGTCAATGATGTACAGGATATGTTCTTTAAATTTGAGAGAATTATCAATAATAAACTCCAAATACTTGATCTTCTGAACCACCTCTACACGCTCAGTACCTATTTCTATCTTTAAATCATACTGATAATATTCATGCTGAATCCTGTTACCATCAATCATAATGAATTTCGGCTGAAGATCCAGATTTATTGCATGCATCAGACTAACTAGGTCTATTGAAAAAAAAATGGATCAATGTATCATCCGCAATATTGCTCCCATTTTTTGTTATGTTTTCTATTATCCAGTTAATCCACAAACCAATCAAATGCGTCATCCAAAATTCCATAACTTTGCATTGTTTTTATCAATTCACTTCTATCTAAAGTTTTAAACACGCGCTGTAAGTCAAAAAACACAGCTCCCACACACAGCATAGTCATCATCAAGAAGATTTTTCCATTCATACAGAATATTTTGTACTGCTGTCTCACAACTATGTCCCTTTCTAAACCCCGACTGACTCAGAAATTAAGACATTATTTGAATTCATGTACTCCATCAATTGACTGTATATCACCCTCTCCAGAATGTTTTCAACTGTCGCCAGAAGATTTATTGGTCTAAAATCATCTGAGTTTATAGAACCCCTAATTTGTTGAACTGGAATTATTGTTCATGTTTTTAACATACATGGTAATTTACCAGTTTCTAAAGAAATGCTTATCAAATTCAAAACGGGTTGTTTTATGTTGTGGTATGTTTTTTTAATAAACTCTGCTGTTATATCGTCTAGACTTCCTTTATTGGGCAAGGAGGTAATGATGCTGTTCAACTCTTCAAATTCTATCAACCGAAAACAGGTGAAACGGCCACAGTGTTGCCAATGTCGTAAAGTTGGATTACCCGAGTTTCCAGTTGAAATTACCCGCGTTTGCAGTGGTGCTGCCAGGTTTTCGGGGCAGGGAAAGAGGCATATTTCAAAACAGCGCTAAGCAAAAAAAAAAAACAAAGAAAGTATATCAGGGGACAGGGGTCCACGTATCTTTATTTATTTTTAAAGGGGATAGGAGAGAAAAGGATAAAGATACACTCGTGCTGATTAAAGGATAGCCGACAGATAGATAGATTAGGGGCCAATACTATTGATCTTGAGCCGTTTTCTCGCGTCCACTTTTTTCAAAACGGGTTTGTTACGGGCAATGCTGTTACCATTGCCCGTTTCAAACATGTTTTTAAAAAAGTGGACGCGAGAAAACGGCTTTGATAAGTCGTTAAATTTAAGGCTTTGCATGGGCCAAGGTCTACAAGTATGATGTGGTTAGAGCAAATTCAAACCCCTGATCAATTTTTAACGGCTGTCAAATTCGAAAACTGAGAACAAAAGTAGATACCGGCACTAGGATTGTCGCCGGCCCGGGTCACGCCTTCTCTTTCCTTGATCTTTCTATTTTCTATCTTTCTTTATAGAAAGGAAAATAAAAGAGAAGCTAATATGCCCGGAGCGCGCTCGACAGAAACTAATCATTGCCTTAACAGATCGGCCATCCGCGCCATTTACGACAATTTCCGAAAAGCGTAAAAATTAACATAAAGCTTCGATTACCCGAAGTTACCCGATTTATAAAATGTTAGAAAATTACCCCGCTTTCAGTCAAATTACCCGCAAATCGGGTAATTACCCGCATATTGGCAACATTGAGACGTTGGAGTGAGGCTAGGGTTATCATCACTGTTGTATATATGTGAAATTATAGTTTCTATGCTGTTGACAAAATATAGTGTCATTACTTAAGTGTGCAACATATGGGATTTTTTTTTAGTAATAGCACAATCAAAATACAAACAAGTCTAAAAGTTGGTGCATGTCTGATAATCATATTAGGTGCACTTAGAATGGTTGCAAGTCAAACAGCATACAGGGTGGCTCAAAAAATATCAAAATTCTACTTATATTTACTTAAATAAAATAAAACTTTTGCACTTCAAGGAGAGTTTTTGTAATATGGCTATTATCATTAGTAATGTTTTAACTTGTTAAAAAAAAAATTGCGACATTTTAAAGTTGTGTTGAATATCATTGCAACAAACATGAATTTTGTGATTCCATAAAAAATTAAAAATCTAAGTTAATTTTACAAATATGCTTCAATCTGAACAAAGTTATGTAAAATTGATTTGATTTTAATTAATTTTTGAAAGTATTAAGGGCGGAAATAGAAAATAAAAAAAATATAGAAATTATAGATTTTTTTCGAAAGAAAATAAACAAAATCTTAGAAGGCTATGTTTTGGTATTTAGGCATAACTTTTAATTCCAAACAACTTTTCTCTATAACATTTTGCTTAATTTTCTAAAATAAGGGTACTTTACAGTACCAGCTTTGATATTGTTTGAGCTACCCTGTATGCTGTTTGACTTGCAACCATTCTAAGTGCACCTAATATAATTATCAGACATGCACCAACTTTTGGCCTTGTTTGTATTTGGCTTGTGCTATTACTAAAAAAATCCCCATATGTTGCACACTTAAAAAATCACACTGTATGTTCAGATTTTCGGCTATATCTGTGGGGTTGGTGATAATTGCATTATTGATTTCTATTTTTCCTATGTTTTTTCAATTTTTATATTTAATAAGTTGCCCCAATGTATCCCACATTTGTTTGGGATTATTCTTTCCAGTGTCAATTTTCTTGTGGTATAAAACTTCCTTCTCTTTCTTTATGATTCTTGCTACTGCATTTCTACATTCTTTATAATATTCTCTATTTTCTACCGTTTTATTTAATTCAAACGTTTTATAACTACATATTATCCCTCTTTGTAATGGCATTTTTTACTCTATCATTATACCATTCTCTATTGTTTTGTTTAATGACCTTATCAGTTTTTGGAGCAACTTTGTTCAGAACACCCAATATATTGTTATAAAAAAAAAGATACCTACTTAGCATTTATATCATTGAGATCCGTTTTGTAGTTTCACAAGATATTTGCCCATTCAATATTCACCTGTTGGTAATCTATTTTACCTCTCGTACATACAGTTACTTTGTCTGCGTAGGCCTGATTCAACCCAATGATGGTTTTCGCAATATGATGATCACTAATACGGGGTGTTTCTAAAGCTTGGCACTTAACGATACCAACTGTATTGTTGGATAGAACTAAATCTATCAAGGTACCTTCTTCTTCTGTAGGGTAAGTGACTAAATTGACATTCTGTGTGAACCCTGAATCATTAACAACCTTCTTTAATCTCAACGAATATGTATCCTCAGCCAACCAAGTGATATTAAAAGTCTCCCATGATAATAACAGGATGACTCATGTCCTCAGATGCGTCACACCAACCTTCAATAAAATTCAAAAATTCAGTACAACTTGCATGAGGAGAACGTTACAAATTACCTATCACATAAATCCTGCCACAAATAGAGACTTTCAAGACAATAAACCAATAGCTTTTTTTTACATACATATTGTTCAATATTTAACAAGTCAACACAATCATTTATGTAAATTACTACACCACCAGAGTGCCTGTTTTCAGTGTTCACCCTATAAACTTTATAATTCAAAATACTAATCTCAAAATAATTTATACAATCTGTGAATCGTGTCTCTGTTAAACATATTGCCATAGACTTTGTTTCCAATATAAAATTGTGAATTTCCTCAAACCTAGATAGAAGACTCTGAGAATTAATCACAATTATGTCCCTTTCTCTAAAAAATGCTTCCTAGCAGAAATGTTATCATTGAAGTTACTACCCTTTTTTTAGCACTTAGCGTAATTTAAGATTAAATTTTGTATTGCCCTTGCTACTTTGATTCTCCCTCCAAATTTAAGTCCGAAACTGTTCTTACCTTGAGCATCATAATAAAAATTTGAAGCATTTACAATTGCATTATAGTGCACAACAAATTTATCATTATAGAACAATAACTTATTATGATTATTTATAAAATTATTCACAACATGATTATTGTTCCATAAAGAGTGTTAAATTTGTTTGTTCACTAATCATTCTATGACTCTGAATTACATCCTCTTTAATATGCATACCTTTTAAGATATTTATGAAGCCGCCCATCACAATCACAGAATCATTATATGTTAAATGTGTTGTGCTTATAATATTGCTTACAATATCCTCCATGAATGCATTTACCTTAATGATTGCTGATATCTTGAACTTCCAGCACAGGCTCAGGAAACTATCCAGAATACTTCTTAAGTTACCACCTACCAAATTTTCACCATATATAACAATATTATGTCTCTCTTCTACCACTTTTTTTATCCATCCACGAAAAACTTCTCTCCCCTTCTACCAATTTCTGCTCCAAAGCCTCATTATCCGCTTCCAATGCTCGGATTGAATGCAACAATTCCTCACAAGTTCCTTTAGCATCTTCAAGCTGTGTCCTTTCATCACGAGATTTTGCTTTGCTTGCTGAAAGTTCCATATTCAGTTGTTCTAGCTTAGATAATTTGGTCCTTAATTTCAGTATAGATTCATCTTCGTTGACGGAATCTTGATCACTTTTCTGGTTTATAGCACTACCTCCAGGTTGTTGGTTTTTAATCAGAGCATTTGCGCATTTTTTGCATAAGACGTTTTTACAAATATCGCATGGACCGCCAAAGATTTCATCCTCCTTAGGTCTGCTCTTGAAAATGCATTCAAGATTGCATATAGAACAGACCAAGATTGTCATCCTTCCATAGCGCTTGGCAAAATTCCGAGTGCTCCTATTAGATTATCATAAGGCAATTTTTTAATTGTATTCAAATATCGCCTCTCAAGTATGCCACAAGCTGTTTTTACTGGACTATGAATATTTATGGCTGCAGTTCAATCCGTACTGAACAAAAAGTTTTATCACTATTTTGGAATTTGTTTATTTATTTTAACTATTGTCCCCCATTGTTCTCACTTGAAATACGAATTACTTGCAAACCTCATTTCTTGGTGATACAATAATATAAAAAATCAACTAAGCAAAGTGATATTTTATTACTTGCGCAATTTTCAAAAAAATCCGACCACTATTTCTATTGAAAATCCTTAAAAAATACGGAGTGCAACACACACTGTACACTAAGCTGGGACTCTACCATTGTACAAATGGTGCATGCAAGCTATGTGTCTACGTTTCTGTAAAGATTCTAAACCATATTTGTCGCAAAGTGAAGATGGTGCTATATTGAAATCATAGGTAATCAGATAGGTAATTTAAACATTTTTTATATCAGCGGTTACTTCCGCTCGTACGTTTTTAAACTGTGAATATGTGGCGATATCTTTAGATTTGTTATATTTTTCCCTTATTTTTTTTTACATTTAATTTTACTAATAATTGGTCTGTTAAACCAAGTGGGATATTTTTTTTTATTTCTTTTTAGTTTTTGTTTGTTCTTGTGCTTTTCAAAACTTTTTTGTTATAGTAAATAGTTTCACAGTTTTTTGGATTATTTTTTCAATGTCTGAGACAATATATTTCCGCAGGTCGGACTCAATAATAACATCCAGATTTCTCACTGAATCATATGTCTCAGCTCACGACCCTTTAAATCGCATTGCTAGCACCTAAACGCTCACAGCCTCAGCGACAGAACCGAAAGTAGTCTGTTGTGACTTGATACGGTTTATTTTGAAGCTATGCTGACAGGAGTAGTTATGGGTTGCCTCTTGCCTCCAAATTTTCGTTAAGGCCACCAGCCTACCGCAAATTTATAAATTTATCCATTGTACAATTAACTGTAAAATGACACTGTCGTAAAATAAATACATATACATATACAATGGACCTTTCTCATGCAATGAACAACAAGGATAGTTCATTAAGATTTCTGCAATAAAGAAAAAGACACATATAATGACGCGCGATACCTGTGTGGAATGACTTTGATTGGTTCCACTTGTCAAATTGTGCAATTTCGGTTATGTTTCTGTTTTTGTTTATTTTTAAACGTTAATATGACAAAATACGTATTACCATTAATTAGAAAGAAAACCCACCGCAGCAAAAATGTTTGCAGCAAACCTTTAATTGTACATTATTATTGTATTTGATATAAAAATCGTTATTTTACGAACCCTCAAATCTCTGTCCCAACTTAAATCGTCTTCATTCGGGTTGAGAGCACGTAACTATTGTTTTCTTACAATTTGATTGCCTGGGAACTTGTGAAAAGAAAGGTTTCACTTCTTTTTCGCCTAATTCTGACAAGAACTCATTCAACTCATTTGAACCATTGTATCATAAACAGTTTTTGTATTAATTTTCAGCAATATTGATTGATACTGATTGATAATTGAGGTTAGCTTAAATACGTCAGGGTCAGACCGTGTTCAGTAAATTGACGATTTAATTATCTGTCACCCACAAGATGCGCGCGCAGCACAGGTAAAATGAGAAAGGTCCATTGCACCTTGCGATTTCCCCTTATACTTAGCACAGCTAAGCTTATTATTTAAATCCATTGTTTAAATTATAAACACAATTGAACATCAGTATTAAAACCTGAGTTACCCCACACCTCAAGCTTGTTGGTATTGAGTATCTCAAATGCTTGAGAAAGTTCTTGCTTAGGTATAAGAGACAAAACAAAATATTCATCAAACGTTGAACCAATATTTTTTTTTTTTTTAGCAACAATTGCTGTTAGAATCAAAACAGAAAATATCAATGTCGTTGAAGAAGAAAAATTGAGGATCGAATGCAACGTTTTGGGCAATCCTTACCCTTCAATCATATGGAGAATTGAGTCTAGCAACTACAACGGATCCACTGGTTACGATGATCGTATCCAAATCAAAGACTATGTGGATGATACTTCAAAAACCGTTGAAAATGGTGTCCTAATAATCGAAAAAGTTGACAAACAGGATCGTGGTCTATACTACTGCATAGCCACTAATCGATTTTATGATAAAGAAAGCTTGGAGGCTCAGAGTATGATTAGGATCAAGGACAAGTATGCCGCTTTGTGGCCCTTCTTGGGAATTTGTGTCGAAGTTATTTTGCTTTGCGCCATTATTATTATTTATGAGAAAAAACGTAACAAGACCGAGTTGGAAGAGAGTGACACTGATCAAAGTCCTGATCAGAAAAACACTCCTGATCATGGAAAAGATGCCAACTTGAGACACAGGCAGTAGGTAAATGTGTTCAAAATTGTTTTTGAAAAATAGTAAAATACTGCACTTTCTTGTAACAAAAGTCATTTGCCGTTTGCCAAAGAGTCTTTACAAATTATTATTCCACTATTTAACTTTCATAATGCTTTATGTAATCTTGGTATGTTACTGGAAAAGTTAGAAAAATCGTTTGTTTATATTATAGTATTATTAACGTGTTTTGTCTTTAAAATAAATAAATTATTAATAATTATTATTGTTTTTTTTTGTTTTAGTTTTGCTAGAATTTCCCCATTAGGGAAAGCGCGCACTAGCGATTTATTGTTACGCGACTCTTTAGTCGCTAAAATGGAACATTATATATTTAAACGGATATGCACGCATTCTGCGACAAAATATTCGCTGCGGCTAAATAATAGAACCAGTCCTATTTTAGCAGCGACGCGACTATCGCCGATTTGAATCTGTATCATACGCACTCGCGGAGACGTGCACGCATTGCGATTATTAGCAATAGAATTTTTTTTTACCGATGGAAATAATCATCTGTTTTCAATTGTATACATACAGGGTGGAATTTTTAAATCGAATAAATTCAGTTTTTTTCTGGAAAAATAAAAAAAAACTGATCCCTTTATTTTTAGTTTGGCACACTTTTTCGGCCTTTTCATGGAATTTACCCCTCTCTAAAGGGTAGAAACCACCCCCAACTTTTTTTTTTCAAATGTAAAGATATGTATTGTGATAGCTCGTTGGAATGGGCATAAAAAAGGAAAATGACCCATTATTTAATTTTGCGTTTCGGTGACCTAGGAAGCAAGAAAAAAATTAAAACATATTTTTCCACACAATTTTTTTACAGTTAAAATTGTTGAATATCTTCAGCATTTCTTCTTGGTAGAACCCTAATGCGAAACAAGCCCCATTTGTAACGTTATGCAATTATATCTGACGTTAACACACTATTTGATGCCTGATACTCGGATTCTCAACCTTAAAATAGTGCGTTAATGTCAAAAATAATTACATAACTAGATCACCGAAATGCAAAAGTAAATAATGGGTCATATTCCTTCTTTTTATGCCCATTCCAATGAGCTATCACAATACATATCTTTAAATGTGAAAAAAAAAGTTGGGGGTGGTTTCTACCCCTAAGAGAGGGGTAAATTCCGGGGGGCGGTTAACTATGTTAAATCGGTGTACAAATGGACTTAAATCACTTTAAATCCTTTATAAAATTATTTAAATCATCTTGTTCTGCTCTAAATCAGATTAAATTAGGTCAAATCCCTCTAAATCGTTTTAAATCCCTTCAAATCTCTTTAAATCCCTTCAAATCTTTTTAAATCCCTCTCAAATCTTCTTAAATCCCTCTCAATTTTTTTTAAATGAATTAAATCAATAAAAATCAGAGACCCTGAACAGTTTAAATCCCTAGATATATTTTTTTAAATCACCTATTTTTTTCATAAATCATATAAAATCGCGTTAAATCAGGTTAGATCACTTTAAATTTTCTTAAATCTCTTCCGATTCAGTTAAATCCCTTCAAATTTTTTTAAATCCAGTTAAATCTTCTTAAATCCCGTTAGATCTTTCTAAATATCGTTAAATCTTTTTAGATCCCTTTAAATCTTTATAAATCTGCATAGTGCATAGATCTTTTTAAATTGATAAAAAACGGTTTAAATCCTGGGCAGACAGTGGCGCACCCAGGTTTTTTATTTGGGGGGGGGGGGGTTTTCATAATGATGAAGGCTCGCCGCAGACAGGCGCTTTTCGGGTGTCACGCCCAAAAACGTTTATTTTAAGCCTTCAAAAAATAACTTTTTGTAAGTGATTGTATAGTCAGAGCTGCTGGGCAACATGCGATTAATGATTATACCACATGCAGATGGATCAAGTCCATGCTAAAACACAGGACTATAAACTCCACTATTGCTGAAACCTCTATTAAAGTAACCGCGACAAAAGGATTCCCACAGGGCGGAGTAATTTCACCACTCTTGTGGAATCTAGTCGTGAATGAACTTCTGAGGAAATTAAACGATCAAGGTTACATCACCCTAGGCTACGCGGATGACATAGTCGTCATTATTCTGGATTTACCAGGAAACCTCATTGGCAAAAATGACGCCTTAGAAATCATTGAGGAATGGTGCACGAGGGAGCAACTTCGCGTCAACCTCTCCAAAACAAAACTCATTCCTTTCACGAAAAAAAGAAATCTGGAGAACTTAATCGCCCCCATCAGTCTATTCCAAAAAACCTTGGAGTTTGGCAGGGAAGCTAAATTTCTAGAGATCATCCTAGATATGAAGCTGACATGGAATCAACACATCCAAAAGATAACCACCAAAAGCAAGATGACGTTGATGTCACTAAAAAGAGCGATTGGGAAAACATGGGGACTAAAACCGTCACTTGTACAATGGATATACAGTACAGTTGTAAGACCAATGATAACATATGGTGCACTTGTATGGTGGTGTAAAGTAAACCAAAGACAAGTAAACCTGGAGCTAGCCAAAATCCAGAGACTTGCGTGTCTTTGTATTACCCGGTGCACAGAGAAGCACACTAACGGCAAGTATGTCAACCTCTGGGAGAATACACTACTCTATTCCAAGTAGAAATATATGCCATCGACTCCTGTCTGAGAGAGAACCTGAGGAGGGGATACACAGGTAAAAACATCCTTATCTGTTCAGACGGTCAAGCGGTCGATCAAAGCACTCAACAGCTTTGAAATAAAATCCAAACTTGTCTGGGAATGCTTGGAAAACCTCAAAAACCTAAGTATGGCCAATAAGGTAACCCTTAAATGGGTGCCAGGGCATAAAGGAATTGAAGGAAATGAAAAAGCAGATGCTCTGGCAAGAGAAGGATCGGCAACCAGTTATACTGAACTCATTTGGTACCACAAAATCATCGGTAAGAGCAAAAATAAACCAATGGGTGTATAGACAACAGAAAACCTACTGGCAAACTCTTCCGAAGCTCAGACACAGTAGGCTAATGGTACAACAACCATCACCTAAACTTACTGAAGAAATCCTACAAACTAAACAGGAATCAAATCAGGCTAATAACTGGACTTATAACTGGACACTGTAGCCTGGGAAAACACCTTCACACAATGGGCATCGTCCAAGAAGAACCCATATGCAGTCTTTGTGACGAGGAGGATGAAACCGCCACCTACATAATCTTTGAATATGAGGCTTTACGCTGGTGGAGATACAGACAGATAGGGCCAGAAGATCCTATCTCTAAACTCACCAAAAGTAACACAATGAAGAGGCTCCTAAACCTAATCTAGGTCACGAAACTTTTCACTGACTAAACAGACGAACAGGACAATACAATGAGCCAACGGCAGCAGTGTTGGGGCCACCTAACCCGGCCTGTTCATTCTGCATCTCAACCAACCAAGTGATTGTATAACTTATGTGTTTACCTCGCTGTTTACTCACCTAAATCAACTCGCTGTCGGAGGCAAAACCTTTTAGGGGTGCCATCTATGTGAAATGGAAAGTTTGTAGGTACCTATTAAGCAAAATCGCAAAAAAAAAATATTTTTACCGGAAAATTCTTTGTACCAGTGCTAAATTTCGGGGGGGTTTTAACCCCCAAAACCCCCCCCCCTTGGGTGCGCCACTGGGGCGACTTCCACTCCGCAATCCGCAAGTAAATGAAAGATTTCCAAGATAAACAAAAAAATAAAAAAATGGGTCATTGTTTTTAAAAATCATTCTCAGTAATCTCAGTTCTGGGAAAGTAATGACAGTGAAAAAATTTTCATGCTGGCTTTTTCAAAACTCGACATCCAAACTTAAGTAGTGATCATATACTAAGGGTAAGAGGATAACACAGGGAGTTCACCAAAAACAAGGAAATCTCAGAGGAAATCCATAAAAATTATCAACACAAAAAGAAGAAAAACCATCAATCGAACAAATTAGCGTCCCAAAATCGAAAATGATGACTTTCTTGGAGATTCCTCAATAAACAAGTCATCAGAATTATCAGTTCATGATTCAACCTCAGAAGGATCGGAATATTTTGATGATCTGTACAGAACGGAGGAAATTGATGAGGAAACACAAAATGAGAGAATCAAGGTTGAACAGGAAATGTCAGGGTTGGCAGGATATATATCAGTGATAAATATCTTGATAGATATATCTTGATAAATATCATGATATTTATGCTATAAATATCTTGATATATATCAATAATATGTATTTGTATGGCCTTTTTTTTCTATTTTATAGTCTTATTATTTTATTTATGAGAAGGAAATCACAGCGATTCTATTTATTTTTATTTGTGTATAGGTATAAGAAATATTAGGTTTTTAGGGCGGGTATCATGAAACTATTTTGACAGATACCTAAAAGTTAACTTCTGGAATTACTATGAGAAGTAACGTCATTCCAGAAGTTGACTTCTAATTATTCTGTCAAAATAGTTTTATAATACCCGCCCTAAGTTGTAGATTTCTTATAATTAAAAATATAAATAAATATCCAAATTTTGATATATATCCGATATATATCGGATAATTGGATATTTATATAAATATCATGATATTTGCCAACCCTGGGAAATGTATTATGCGGTCTTTTATGATATTGGATGGTTTTTGGGTAGAGTAATATGAAGACCCACTGACTATGGCACTTTTAGAACTTTTTCAATTAGTTTAAAATTTAACACGTTGACTGCCAACTACGAGATAACTCGAATTTGGCTACTTGAATCAGAAGCCCACTATGAATTATCTCGTACTAAGCACTGTCTAGTATATCGCCTACTACGGGTAAACACGTAGTAAATGCAGGCAGATACATAATGTTGCGCGTCTGGGGTAAGATCCAACAATAACTTGACGGCGTGGCGGTGTGGACAAGAAAAATCAATAAATTATTTTATTCCGATTTTATTTGTGACTAAAATAAAGGAAAATCACTTGGATATAATTGGCGTCTAGGGCTAAATTCTTATATAAGGCTTGGCAGTCAACGTGTTGAATTGGGCTTTTGTGAGAGCAAAAATGAGGTACCTACCAACCTACCCTACTAGCACTAAAATATCTGGTTATTAGATAAATTTTTATCTTTTTAGGACTAAATGAATTACCTTGAATCATACCAGGTTAAATCAGTGTAAATCATTGAAAAAAATCAGACATCCATTTAACCCAGCAAACACGAACTGACGGTAAACAATCGGCCGAATGCCTTGAACGATGGGTAAGTGACGGCATCGGCAAAATGCAGTTGGCCCCTCGTGTTTTCGATCATTGAATTCCGGCTGTTGGCATTTGAACGCTGGCATAGCGTCGGGGCTTTTCTATTAACGATTTCAAATTATACAACTGGTACTATATCACTGAACCGGCAGTTTGCCAATATATGTTTCCCAGCCTCCTTAAAAATTTCGAGCAGACGTACCGCGCACGATTCTTAATGTGTGTTCTGTGCATTGTTGAACCTGACCGGCATTGACGGTCATCACCTCGTTGGCAACGTATCTATGTTTGTGGCTTCGTTTTTGTATTTGGATTTTGTTCTTGGTCTTGTGCTTTGGGTAATGTCTCAATAATTGTGGAAATAAGTAATTGTGTATTGTTTGTGTTGTCGTACAAAAAGTCAATTGTTAGATCTAAGACAAAACTTTCCGGCAACGGAGACAACTTGGTGAGTATAATTGTAATTAAAATAACGCATGTACATTAAAAAATGTTATTCTCCTTTTCAGATGGAAATTATTGTTTTTTATTTTATTTTCCAAGTTTATGTGTTAGGATTTATTGTATTTTTTCCAAAGAATTTATTTATTAATTTCTATACACTAATGAAATGTTGACTTTTTTCCTATAATATTGTATTGTATTACCTAAATATTAACTATTTTAGATATTTTTATAAAAATGCATTTTTATTTCTAAGTCATTTTCAAAGATTTAGGAGGAATGTAACTTATATAATATATCTATGATTTTTTCGATAAAACCTAAATTTGTTTCAAATTTTAGTCCTCCAGAAAGGCTTCGATTCCTACTACCAAGAAAAACAAACAGCAGAAAAAAATTGTTGTGTCATACCAAGTTGCAGAAAAAGTAAAATTCGATTTTTGGAATTATTTACTAGCATTCCGGTATACAACATTACAACCATGTATAAAGTTATGGCCCTGTGATGAAAATCCATCAAATATACTGTGGAGGACCATAAAATTTGAGGAAGTATACCCAGCGTTGGCCCAATGTGATGATTCAGACGTTGAATTGGCCCAGCGCTTGTTCATACTGTCGGCCGACTTGCGGCTCGACTGTCGGCCGGGCGGTCATATACGATCCGGACCAGTACTTTTTTCATTTAGTTGGCCAGATGCCTGTTATCCGGCAAAGCGGCATTCGTACGATGCTGGGCCATAAGAAATGTGTTTGTTGGGAAATCTTCTTAAATCAGGTTAAACCTTCCTAAATCAGCTTAAATCTTTTTAAATGATCAAGTAAATCTATAAATTATCTTAAATCAGTTAAAGCTTACATAAAAATCTCTTAAGTCCGATCACATCTCCTAAATCAGTTTAAATCAATGATAATTTTAAATCGGTGTACACATTTTGAGGAAGTTGACCGCCCCCCGGTAAATTCCATGAAAAGGCCGAAAAAATTTACCAAACTGAAAATAAAGAGACCTGTTTTTTTTTAAATTTTTCCAGAAAATAAACAGGCTTTCTGATACTAATTTTATTCCATTTAAAAATTCCACTCTGTATATTCGATTTCTATGGTTTAGTTAATGTAAAATATTTAAATTAAAACATGTCTTACAGGGAAGAAACAACCCACATGGATCTTGATACTGAAAAAATTATTGTGGAAGTGGAGAAAAGACCGTATAATAAAAAAACTGGAATTAATACAGCAATATAAGAAATCCGAAAGAGGAGAAATGTGCAGAAGTATGTGCAATTGTAATATCAGAATATAAAATCCATTTTGAAACTGCAGTGATGCTGCGATTTAATGCTCACAGTGCGCGCTCTTTTTCTTCTCACTCGATTATGTTTGCGACTGCGACAAAATTATCGCGCGAAAACAAATCGCTAGTGCGCGCTTGCCCTTACATACATAGAAGGTATAGTTTTTAATTGCATTATCAGGTTGCTGCAACTCGCCTCATTTGATTCTCCCATGTACGGTCTCGTCATTTGAGTCTACCTACATCCTTCCTATCGTTCCACGACAAAAATATAATTATAGGAAAGGTTATACAATTTCCAAATGGAAACTGTGCATGCGCAGCTGTCAACTTGCCTTAAAAAGACAAGCACTTGATTGAATTATGAATAACTATCGAGAATCGAGATAATACAGAGAGTTATTGGACGTGCAATAAGGACAAGCAGTATTTAAATTAGCCTTATTTTGACATCTACACGCATGCGCATTTGGGTCTGAAAATAAGGATTCCCTTAATAGGGTTACTGCTTCTCTTTATTTGTGTATGTTTAGTGCAAAGCAGTAAACTTCCCTTATTCCAATATTTCTGACATTTCTGATGATTTTGACGTTTCGCTTTTCAACGATGACGTAATTTTACTAGAGAATTTGTTTTTTACAATAGTTTTTCATTTTACTGTAGGTAACATCAAAAAATGGTTACCTATCAGCAGAAAAACACAAACAAAAATAAAACACTTTTTGAGGTTGAAATTCATAAATGTAACTATCAGCTGTCAAAATTATGAATACAAAATGAGGTAATAGTCTAACACCTACTACTGATATTTTCTTGGAAAAATAGTGCTAATGCACTAATAAAATAATGCAGATCCTTAATACTGCGAGACTGCGAGCGAGGCATTGGCGAAATTCCTATACCAATAGATGGCACTAAATTACGCGAAAAATAGCAATATGTCTGCCGAACTCAGTGAATAACAAAGCCAGTTTTTAGAGGTTGGTTTTTGTTAAATTGTGTTTTATGGTGTTTTTGTGATTTATATAACAGAAACAATACATAAAATGAATAATATTCTGTAGAAAATTGAAAACTTCCAGAAACAATGCCGGGGGCCAAATGCAAACTTGCTTTGTTGTTCACTGAGTTTTGAGTACCAAAGTTGATCATAGATGTCGCCTACTTCGGGGCCTTTCGCGAATAGGTTACTAGCTGACCCGGCTAACTTCGTACCGCCTCTGAATTATTAAATATACCTATTAAATGTTGTGTAAACGTATCTATTAGCTGAATTAAATTCAGTTTTTTTCGATGGTGAATTTGGCTTTGGTTGAAGAAAATTAATGTTTACTCTCTGGATCAGATGTCACCTAAAATTAAAATTTTACATCATCCTTTTTTAGGCAGCTTGTGGGCATTATTCTTGTAAAGTGTACCACCAAATAAATAAACTCAGGCACAGGAATGTTCAAAGAATATAAAGAAAACAAAAAAAAATCTCTAGCGCAGCCCTGTTTCTTTCTATCTGCACTGCACTACTCCATCTGTTCTACTCTATCTGCACTACTCTATCTGATCTACTCTTTCTGCACCACTCTATCTGATCGGAATAGTGGAATAGTTCTGTTCGAAATAGCTCCAGTTCCTGAGCAGCATTGTTCTACTGTATTTGCAATGCCGAGCTTCGTTCCAGGTATCAGAGATGGCGCGGTATACAAAATACAAAATAAACTTGGTATCGGTTATAAGAGATGGCGCCGTAAATTTTTTTCATAAATAAATAAAATAAGTAATGAAATGACCACATTAATGACATAACAACATGCTGGTACTGTCAACGCTGGAAAAAGTTTCAATTTGACAGCAAAATTCCCATTAACAAAATGATCCTCCATTTATTGAATAATTCATTTATTACAAAAAATGTGATAAATGATAAATGAAGAACCGCTCGACCGATTTTGTGCAAACTTCACATAAACCATCTAATAAATAGTCCGAACAAAGCCTAAACATTTGGTTTGGCTAGGTGAGCTCGTTCTTGAGTTATTAAATTACAACGAAAAGTGGCATTAATTTTTATATATATAGATTAATTAATTTTATTTTAAGCTATAAAAATCCTAGATCATGGTCACTGGTGAACATTGACAAGAGAATAATATAAATGAGCGTCATGGTCATAGCTATCAGGGGTAAAGAGGGAGGTAAGATTCTGTCGATTCTGACGTGTCAAATCGTAGGTACGTGCACACCAAGGATAATACACACTATTACTACAGGATAGCCTATCCTCATAAGGCCTGTGTGGAACAAATCCCCCACTATACAACGGTCATAATTGCACCACTGCCTCACCAAGGAAAATACACTCTTAAAGGAGTGCTTCTTATCGGCCTCGTTTTTTGTAATCGCCGCCATATTGGTGTGCCACCATTGCCGACGTCATAACTAAGTCGTCAGCTGTTTAAACCACCTACGTCAAGACGAGAAATAACATAATGCTGCCTACGTCACAACTGGTATTTTGGCCCGGGGGGCAAGGGAGGGATTTGTCACACACAGGCCTTAGGCCTTATGAGGATAGGCCATCCTGTAGTAGTAGTGTGTATCATCCTTTGTGCCGCACGACCTCCAAGAGCTCAGGGGTCCTATTTTCGAATATTTTCGTATACGAAATTCGATACGATTTCGAATGCTCCCCATTTAATTTACCATTGCTGTCAGTCAAATTTCGTGTACGAAATGCACTCGAATGGTTTCGAAAATCGCACCCCAGAGCAAAAAGTGTCGTCACCAGTCTCCCAATGGGATTCAAAAAATTGCACTAAAATGGCTAATGGATATATATTGGTTTTATTTTTTGTTTGAAGGTTTTTGAAGTAACTTCAATATTACAGTCTAAAACATGTGTTTTTCAACTATCTATCGCCATAATTAAAGTTTTAAAAAAAGTGCCTTTTTCCCGCCGGACCGCCAACTAAAATACGCATAAAAAATATACTAAACAAACTTGCTTGGCCGACACGCCATATTGATTTTTTTTTTAGAAGAAGAATGAGACATGCAGACATGACCATGACATAACCCATCATAACCTCAAACATTGTTTGTAATATTTAAATATTTGAATAAAATGTGCAAAAAATCCGAAAATAATTTAAGCAAATCAGAGACTGACTCGGAAGACTCAATGTCTGAAGACTCATCCGTCTCGGTGTCGGAAGACTCAGATCCAGAGTTTGAGCCCGACGACACTATCCAAGAACCTGGAACCTCAAGCCAAGAAGCCCAGTACTCTGACTCGGAAGAAGATGAAGTGATCAAAGCAATAAAAAGGGAATCAGAAAAGACCAATAACCATCCCCCGATAATACGGTGCGAAGATTTTGTCATGGATATTTGCTTCCATCCCTTTAGCAATATCTTGGCTGTTGCCACTATTAGTGGTGATGTTTGTTTTTATAATTACTCCATGGAAGAAAACAATTTACAAAGTAGGTACAGGTATGGTACAACAAATTTTAATCATTTCATTTATCAAAGGGATGAATAAACTAAAAATGATGTGGAAAGTGTTTAATGGCTCTAGTAAACTTCACGGCCCAAAGAACTTTGCGTTCTAATTTGATTTGTTTAAAAGCTTACATCCAATAGAACAGATTAAAACAAAAAAATCGTTGGATCGCAAAGATTTTCCTCAAAAAATCACCAACTGTCCACAAATGTATATTATTATTGGCTTCAATTCATTTTTTATTACTGACAGTAATTCATAAAAACATAATATTTTAACACTTTTTTACTTCCATAAAGACTCGCATTAACCGAATTAAGGCACCAATATTTTCTAAAACATATTTATTGTTATCCACAAAATTGATAAAAAACTTGTTTTTCTATATTCAATATTAACATACAAGGACTAGTACGCATTACGTGGACAAGTTATTTTGGGCTTGTTAGCATATTTCTGGTTAATTCCATTATAGTTCATTCAATACTGGTTATAAGTCTGTCTAATATTTAAAAAATTTAAAAATAATGATACAGTGAGAGACACTGGTTACAACCTACACAACCAAAATTTTCCATTACCCATTCCGAAATTTGCCTTAACGAAAAATTCTATTATATATGAGAGCATTAAGATCTTCAACAAGCTGCCAGACGTAATAAAGGGTGTAGAGGACTATGGACAATTTAGAAAAACTTTAAAGAGATTTCTGTAAATTGTTTTTTAAAAATTTTGCTACCATCCCGCGCTGACTCGTTGGTTCTGTGTTGGATTTGCTGAGGTATCTGGACGCTATCAAATCTAGCCCAGCGGCGCCGACTTTTGAAAGTCCTTATGGGTGCAGGATAATAATAAATAACTTTATAAATTTGTTTATAGGGGAAGGGGGTGGGCGAAAATTTTTTTCCGGATGCCACGCCCAAAAACGTCTATTTTATAGTGTTTCCGATTGCTAAATTCGGGCAGCACTAGAGCAACCCTCGTTCAATTTTTGTATACGATTTTATCCCCCCCGTATGCCTGGATAGGTAGTATACATTTTAAACAAACATTTTTCTATTTTGGTGTCATATCGAAGTTTTTTCGACACTAAAAGTAGTTTCGAAAAGAAGCTCTTTGTCACACTCCTTTTTTACTTTTCGGAAGTTGGTAACACTGGCTGACTGATGGCCATCGAACTGTCATTCGCGATTTTATGAGGTCTGTTTCTGCAGAAATCACAAACCAGTCAGAGCGAATTTCATTGGTTGAAAACAGTCAGAAAACTAGTTTCAACCAATGAAATTCACTCCGACTAGTTTGTGATTTTTGCAGAAACAGACCTATGGCTATTTCCATTTGTCAATCAGTGCGCACTGAGTGTATCCCGCGTCTTTTTCTAAAAGCATGTAAAATATAAGGATGGGGATATATTTTTTTTCAGAATCAGAATCAGAATCGTTTATTGGTGCTTAAAAATACACAGTACAGTGTTTACACAAGTCAAAATAATCAAATACAATTTAGTAATCTAAAATTACAATTTCATTAAAAAATTAGACTAACTATCTATTTCACATGATTTTAAATATCTGCTTTACAAAAATATAAAAGTTATGTTTAAAAATTCCAACAACAATTACAAATTTACTGTCACTCACTAATACAACAATTATCAGGACAAGGACATTTAAAAGTTTGGAATCAATAAATAAAATTAAAAAAAAAAAAAAAGCATATAGCAATGACTAGAGACAATTTTTGGTTGGTGCAACTGTAAAGAACAATTGATATAATAATAAATATGAAAAATAATTTATTTGTTTGTTTTAAATAATGTTTGTGCCTGTCCAGCTGAGTGTGGAATTATAAAATTCATCTAGACTGTAAAACGCCTTAATTATGAGAAAATCTTTAATTTTTTTCTTAAATTCGGAATTATTTAGTTGTATTACATGCTCTGGTAGTTTGTTAAAAAGTTTTACAGCATGATATCCAGGTCCACCCTGACATCTCTGTAAACGATGGTAGATGGGTCTTAAGTTATTTTTGTTTCTCGTGTCATGGCTGTGAAAATCACCATTACACATAAATGAATCATAATGGTCCCTAACATAAACCAGATTTTGCAGGATATACTCACAGGGCAATGTCAAAATTCTGTTGTCAACAAAAGCCTGCTTGCAGTCATCTCGATAGCCCAAACCAGCCACTATTCTAACAGCCCTTCTCTGCATAGAGAAAACCCTTTGTGCTCCATTTGCATGACCCCATATTAGCAAAGCATAACCTATATGTGAGTGTAGCAAAGAAAAGTATGTTTGTTTTGTAACTCTAGATGAGACACATCTTGCCAAATTTCTTAATAAAAAAGTGTTTTTACAAAGCTTATTTGAAATTATTTCAGTGTGTGCATCCCAAAGAAGTTTTTGGTCAAGATGCACTCCTAAGAATTTTACACTGTTGGTCATGGGTTCTATATTTTTTAGAGAAAAAGTATAGTTTTGGGTTTTAGATTCATTCAAAAAGAGTTTGTTAGCAGCAAACCATTGCCTAGCCCTCAACCGTGCCTCCCCCGACATACAGACAGCTGTTGGTAGATCTGGATGCTGAACTTGACCTGTGGTATCGTCCGCAAATTTTACATACTTTTCGAACTCCGCTATTTTGGGTAGATCATTAATATAGATTAGGAATAGAATAGGACCCACAATTGAGCCCTGTGGTACGCCTATGTTTATTTCTCGTTCGCTCGAATTAATGTCATTATAGTTAACAATCTGAGTTCGTTTAGTCAGATAGGATTTTATTAGATCCACACTGTCGTTTGAAAATTTGTAAAAAGGCAGTTTTTTAAGCAGGATATCGTGCGAGACACAGTCAAAGGCCTTGCTCAGGTCACAGAAGGTGGTAACTGTGTGCTGAGAGCTCTCAAAACCTTCCATTATACCTTCTACCAATTTTAAAATTGCTAAAGTTGTATTCTTGCCCCTCCTAAAGCCAAACTGACTATTACTAAGTAGGTCATTTTGCTCTAGGTAACTCGATATTTGTATAGCTATGCATTTTTCAAGAATCTTCGATAAAACTGGCAGGAGTGAGATCGGTCTGTAGTTGCCTGGATCATTTGGATCTCCTTTTTTAAATATTGGAATTACTTTCGCTGTTTTTAGACAATTTGGAAAGGTTTTCTCTTTAATGCAATGATTTATTAATTTTGTAAGAGGTGTTATTAGGAGATTTTTGACTGATTTTATTAGGGTTATATTAAGGTTGAAAATATCCTTGCTTGTCTTGTTAAGCTGGTCAATCACATCACGTACTTCGTTAAATGAGAGTTCCTTAAAGGAAAAGGATTGATTATTTGCATTAATTTTAAGTAAATTCAAAATGGGGTCTAAATCTTCTTCTTCCTTTTGCACTCTTTCTACAAATCGAAATCGCTGATAGAAGATTTCTATATTTGGCATGTAGTGTTATCTACAGTGGCTAAATAAACCTTTACATACAGTGGCGACAATTGAGGTCCCGCCGCCATTTTGTTCCCAACCTCTCGTTACTTTTAAATATTAATATATAGGATTTAAATGGACATCTATCATAAAAAATTGAAATCGACGTATTTGATGGCTATTATTAGGTCCATCAAATACGTTGTTTCCCATGGTTTATGATGGATGTTCACCCAAATCTCATATATTCATATTTGAAATAAGCAATAGGTGGGAACAAGATGGCCGCGTTTTCAATATAAATATATGGGATTTTAGAACCAATCAAAAATAAGACAGCAATTGTCGCCACTGTGGGTAATAGAGTCACTGTAGTGTTATCAACCTAAACATATGAAATCAGGAAATATGAGAATGAAATTTCAAAGATTTTTTTTTTTTTTTAATTAAACAATACCTAAATAGAAAAAATAGTATAAAATATTCGTTTCATAAGACATTTTATGACGTGTTATGAAACTTGCATTTTATTGTACTATTAATGTATTTATTTTTATTTATATTAACACAGTATCCCATTTTGGTTGTACATACATAAGGGATATCTCAGTTGCTATTAGAGTTAGAAGGATGCCGCTTTCGCGGACGTTGACTACTTTTCTGTTAAAAAGACGCCGTCAACAAAATTGTCATTGCCCTTTTCGTTTTTCAGATACAAGGTGTTTTTGAAAAAGTTGCATTTTGGGACACCTCTTGTATCTCGGTTCTCTCATAAGTGATCGAAAAGGAGACAACGGGGGTTCCTATAGATCTTTCTACGTAGATTCCAGTAGCAAAGTCAGTTTTTCTCTAGAAGTGACAGTTTTTGGATAATGAACCATACATAGGTTTTTTCAAATGAGACACCTTGGATTAATAGCTCGTTGGAAAGGTTTATCTCCATCCTGTTTGTTTTTGTCATAAGGAATAATGTTTCAGAAGGAAAATGAGGAAGGTCTCTTTCTAACAGAGCTGTTGTACTGAGTATTTTAAATACTTGAAGTAAATACTTAAGTACAAAAATATACTTAAGTATTTGACTTAAGTACTAATCCAAACATTGGTACTTGTACTTGCAATTTCAAGTTTTTCAAATTTTACTTGTACTTTATACTTAAAATATCAGTCAAGTATATTTTACTTGTAAGCTTTTGAAAATTTGTACTTAAGTGATATTAAATTACTTAAGTACCAGTGACATTACTTGAAGTAAATATTTTTAATTGAAGTATTTTTAAATGCTTTAAAATTTACTTGACGACTAAATAAAGTTTTGTTTATTCATCGTGTGACGTCATAAACACACTGACGCAGCAATAGGTGTGAGAACGCAAAAACAATACGATAATGTCCATAATAGTTCTGTTCCAACCGATATGAGAAACGTCCTAAAACGGTAGTTTCCAGTCGATCAATTCATTTGTCAAGTAGGATGAACGTTCAACTTAGGTGAGCAACTGGAAATTGCTGCTTCTGGAACGGTTCTCATGTCGGTTGGAACACAGCTAAT